GGAGCGGGTCGACCGGGGTTCCCGGCAGAAGGGGCAGCAGGGCGCTGAGGGCCTCGCTCAGTTTGGCCAGTCCCTGCCGAAGGGTGCCAGCCAGCTCCCGGATGGCATTGGCAGTCTCCTGCTGGGCCCGCAGGAAGTCCAGGGAGGGGTCTGGGACCGCGGGCGTGGGAGGAGGTCTAGGAGGGGGCGGGGGGCTGGGAGATGACGGTGCCACTTGGGCCAGCGGCGCGGGTGGCGGTGGAGGGGCAGAGGGTGGTGGAGACAAGGCCAGGCGGGGCAGCTGGACCGTCTGCAAGGCCGGAGGGGGCGGGGACTCACGCTCCTTGGACCGTGGGCAGCCCCCTTCCTGGGGGTTGCAGGAGGGCCGGGCCCAGGGCTCCGGGCTGCTGGAGCCCCCCTTGCTGAGGGCTGGTGTATCTGTAGAGAGAGACATGCAGGTAAGGTATGCATGATTCCCTCCTCACCCCTAGTTCCTTAATCTCTCCCCTACCCTGGCCCGAAAGATCCTTTAAACTCTTTAAAACCTAAGTCAGGCCAGTAGAGGTGGTGCTTGCCCGTTAATCCCAGTGACTCCGGAGGCTGAGGCAGGAGGATCACAAATTCAGAGCCAGCCTCCGCCATATAGTGAGGCCCTAAGCAATAGGGCCAGGTGGAGCACATCTATAATCCCAGAAGCTCAGGAGGCTGCTGCATGAGGATCCTGAGTTCAAACCTAGCCTTAGTAATTTAGTGAGACACTAAGCAGTTAGTGAGGTCCTATCTCAAAATAAAAGATAAAAAGGACTGGGGGTGTGGCTCAGTGGTTAAATGCCCTTGGGTTCAATCCCCAGTACCATCATCATCATCATCATAATAAAAGAAAATTAAAAAAACCTAAGTCACGTGACGCCTTGGAACAGAAGCCTACGACATGGGTCAGTCTTGGTCTCCAGGGAAGAATCAATACATTCAACCTATCAGGCCTGTGCCAGCTTTAGCAGAAAGGGGTCTTGTAAGCCTCCTTTGGGGCCAAGCAGCTCCCATCTCACTCAGAGTAAGAGCCACTCTCTGCCAGGCTGTGAACCATCTGGACACAGCCACACCTCTCAGGCTGCCTTGCTAGACCCCAGGGAGGTGGGAGGCCTGAGACAGAAGTGCTCCAACATCAGAGGTGCTTCTGGAGGCTCTCTCAGACCAGGAGGCCAGGATTTTCCAGTTCTTCCTGGGTCTCCACTCACCTGGGATCTCATTCATACTCCTGAATTTGAACTATCTGTACCAAAAGGCTTCCAGATTCTGGGCCAGCCTGAATTTCTGCCCTGAGCCTGACTTTACTTCCCAGTGTCTCCAGGTGCATCCTGGGCACAGTCCCTGGACCATGTAATGCCTTGGATGTGCTTGCTCACAGCTAAGCGTTTGATCCTCCCCCATCTCTCCCTCCTCCACCACCCACATCACTGCTGATGGCAGCTTCATCCTTCCAGCTGCAGGGGCTAAACACCTTCACTGTGGTTTTCTTTCTCAAGACACCATCCACTTCAAACACCACTGGCTCTGCCTTCAAGCTGAACGCAACACTCAACCTCTTCTCTCTACCTCCCCGGCCCCCACCCTGTTCCAACCGCTGTCCCCTTCCACCTGGAGGACTACGCTTGCCTCCTCACTGGGCTCCCTGTCTCCACTCCTTCTTCATCAGTGGGCGAGGGGTTCAACCAAAATTCAATCAGGCAACAGGAAAGAAGCTAGTCACAAAGGACCTTGTATGGCATGATTCCATTTACACAAAAGGTCCAGAAGAGGCCAATCTCTAGAGACAGAGTAGATTGGTGGTTGCCTAGGGCTGGGGGAAATGGCTTAAGTGACTTAGAGGTGCAGGGTTTCTTTTTGGAATGATGAAAATGTTCTCAAATTGATTGTGGTGATGGCTGCACAACCCTGAATATACTAAAAGCCCCTGAATTGTCTAGGTGGGTTGCATGCTGTGAGAATTACATCTCAACAAAGCTGTTCTAAAAAACAAGCCAGACACTGTCCTTTCTCTGCTCAAACCCTCCTGAGACCCCCATCCCACTTAGGATAAAGGCAAAGTCTTTGAGGCCCCAAGGTCTGCACTGTTGGTCCCAATTGCCTCCCTGACCTCATCTCCTCCCTTCTTTCTACCTTCCTCACAGGCTCCAGCTACTCTGGCCTCCCTGCTGACCCTCAAAACTCAGCCTCCTCCTGACTCAGGGCCTTTGCACTTGCTGAAGCCCTGGCCTGGGAGGATGTTTCCCCAGGCACCTGTCTGGCTTCCTCCTTCACCTCCTCCAGGTTCAAATGCGGCCTCCTGGGGATCATCTTCCTTGACCATCATACAAAGTAGCCACCATTTTCCCTTTTCTCCCTCCTAGCCCTAGCTGGTTTTCTCCCAGCATGCATCTGCCCTGCATGCAGGCCATCTCTGTTATCTGTCTCCTCCTGAAGTCGGTTCCATTTTGCTCACTGCTATTTACCCAGCAGCTAGAATAATGTCTAGTAGCAATTCTTTTTTCTTCAAATGAGAAAAGAACTGTGACCTCCAGAGTTAGCACTGACTGGACCAGGGCCCAGGTCCTCGTGGCAGGTCCCAGTGCCCACGGGGCAAGTCCAGCCCTTCCTGTGGAGACCAGGTCTCAGCTCTTCCCTCAGGGCCAACACACATGCTGCTCCCTCCCCCTCTGTCACACCCCACCTGGCCTGGCACATCCCCTGGCTCAGTTCAGACTTTCCCTCCTTGGGGAAGCTGCCTTCACATTCCTGGCCAGATCAGATGGTCCCAGTCTCCCCCAAACCACTAGCCACCTCCTGTCTGAGTGCTGGGGGCCCAGTCCCCTGGACCAGCCAGTCTGGGAGGCCAGGAGAGAGATGTTGGACCTGACAGTCCTTGACACATTCCTCATCGAGTCCCCTCAGCCACTCTCTGGGTGGATTCTATTGCTGTTACCCCATTCCACAGATGAGGTGACCTGAGGACCAGAGTGGGGTTCCAGAGCAGTGGAAGAGGGGTCTGGATCCAGGCTAGCTCCAGAGCCTGAGCTTTTAACTACCGCTTGGCAGGGGCTGTGACTCTGGGGTGAAGTGGTGGTGTCAAGTCTTCCTTATAAGGAGCAAGGAAAATGCGCCACTTGGAAACCTGACTTTTCTAGGCTACTGAATAAAAAGGAATGGAAAGTGACCCAGCCTGCACACCCACAGGGCTCACAGGAGTCAGGGAAAGGCCACTATGGCAGCTAAAATCATATGTATTCATACCCTTGGGGCCTCAGTTTTCCCACCTGTCATTGAGCACATGTTTAAAGATGGGACTAAATACTGGAACATCTTCCTGAGGGCCACCCTGGGGATCCCTGGACCCACTACAGATACAGGGTTTAAGACAATGCCTGGCACATAGTAAGTCTTCAATGCTGTTATTCTTTCAAATACTATGTCAGAGATAAATGATCCTTAGTTTGTTGTTTTCTTTGGTACTGAGGATTGAATCCACAGTTACTTTACCACTGAGGTACATCCTTAGTCCTTTTTATTTATTTATTTTTAATTGAAAAGACAGAGGCTTTGCTAAGTTGCTGAGGCTGGCCTAGAACTTGCAATCCTCATGCCTTGGTCTCCCGAGTTGCTGCGGTTACAGGAGTACATCACCACGCCTGGTTTATATATACTCTAACTGCCCGAGGCTGCCCCAGGCCCCATTTCTGTCCTTCAATATGAGCAGTTCTGCATTTACGAGTTTTACACAGTGTGGGAGTCTAATGATGGATGCTTTCAGCCCATACCTGCCTCAGGGACTTTGCACACGCTGCTTCCTCTAGCTGGAAACCATCTACTAAGCTCAATCTCTCCATTCAGGACTCTGCTTCCTTTTACCACCTCTGAGAAGCCCTCCTGGAATGCCCTGCCTATACCGCTCCCTTCTGTCATTTACTACTTTCTTAATATGCAGTATTTTTCTTCCTGATATATGATATGTTTGGGGGGCTACTTGTTTGTGGCCTACTTCCCCCAACTACAACGTCAGCTCTGTAAGGGAAGGGAATTCATCTTTTTATCTACAGTATTCCCAGCACCTGCAATACTGCCTTGCCTTGGAAGAGGTTCTTAATAAATACTTATTGAACAAGTGAATTAATAAAGCATTATAAAAAATAACTTTGTCCTCTGTGCTCTGGTTCACTGGGGCCATTTTACAAAAACATCAAGGTTTAAGTCAAACTGAGAAAGGTCCTGAACTGAGAATGTGACTTTCCTGCTCAAGACACTTTTATGCCTCTGAAATTCCCATATGATGAAGTCCAAAGTCCTGACCTTGACTTACAAGCCATGTGTAATCAGATTCTGGTATACCCATTAACTCTCAGTAACTCAATAAAATATCAATTATTGTTGCTGGGCAACATACCCAGTGGTTAAGTGCATGGACTGGGAGTTGGGACAAACACATGTGCTGGGTCCCCACACTCTTGCTGTGTGACCTTGGGTGGGAGAATGAGCCTCTATGAATCATATGCTCTTGAGTTGCCTTATCCATGTTCCTTGTTTTCTCAAATCCTTCACTATGAATAAAATTCAAACTCCCCACCATAGCCTAGCATAGTCTCAACTTTGCCCACCTTTCTGACTTCATCTAAAAACTTTTGTTCAATGTTTTTGCTTCAAAAAATTGGCTTTTTTATTTTTTTATTTTTTTTGCCTCTGTGCATTGCACATGCTCTTCCCTTTATCAGGAATACTTTCTCTACACTTCTTCATTCTGTTTTTTTCTTTTCTTTTTCCATACCAAGGATTGAACCCAGGGGCACTTAACTACTGAGCCACACCCCCAGCCCTTTTTTGTTTTTTGAGATGGGGTCTCTCTAAGTTGCTTAGGACCTGGCTAAACTGCTGAGGCTGGCTTTGAACTTGCAATTCTCCTGCCTCAGTGTCAGAGTTGCTGAGATTACAGGCCTGTGCCAATACTCCTGGCTGTTTCAGGCATGCTGTGTCTCATTCAGCTCGGACATCCCCTCCTCCATCCCCCAACCCCCAGGCTGAGCCAGATGCTGTCTCTGGACTCCCATAACCCCTGGGTTCCCCTGCCCCAGCCAGTCCCTCACTCAGAACCATCGCTGTTTCCCCCAGCTGTCCCAGTCACTGATGTGTTATACCATCTAGCACAGGGCAAGTATTCAGAAATGGAGTAGAAGAAATGATAATCCAGAGACTAGGCTAAGCAGGAAGTGAGTCTCTGTACCCAGTCTCATGTCTCCAGTACAGGTATGAGTTCTCCATACCTGTACTGGAGGCATGACCTTGAGAAAGTTACCAGGCTTCTCCAGTCTTTGACTTATAAATTACTGAAACAGTGTGTACTTCCCAGCATTAACCATTATATCCAGCGCTAAACTTGACTGTTAGCAGACTCTGTACAAAGCAATTCGCCCAAATTAACTCATTTAGTCTTCCCGGCAACCCCTGAAGGTGGAGACTATTCTTATCTTCACTTTACAGATGCAGAAAGTGATGCACAGAGGCAGAAAGTGACACGCAGTGGCTTCTGGGATGCCATAGTTGAGTGGCAAAATTGTGACTGGCACCCTATTTGGAGACAGTCTACTTCCAGAATCACTACCCTAGGATGAGTTTAATGAGTCCTGCCTGTGCAGAGATGATCCCCGGGGTGGACTCAAGCCAGGTCTCCTAGGTCTGGTTCCATTCTTGACTCTGGCAGTCATTAGCTGTGGGACCTGAAGCAAGTCATTTTATTTTTCTGAGCTTAATTTTCCCAACGGTATAATGGGGACAACAGCACCCGCTTCCCAGAGTTGTAGTTAGGATCTGCTTAGCTACATAAAGGACTTGAACAACGCAAGAAGACTGTGCATTTGCATTCGCTGAGGTGATGGTGAAGGACTCACCTGCCCGTCGGTCCTCCCTGCGGTCCTCAGACAACACATAGCGCTGGGCACAGGCGCTAGGGGCGGGCGGCTGTGAGGAGACGGGCGGCTGTGAGGGGGCGGCTGCAGGGGGCTCCTCTGGCCGGGCACCAGCCCCTGATCCCCCCACACCAGGGCCCAGGATGGCGAAAATGGTCTCCTCCTCCGCGGAGAAGGCGTCCTCAGCGGCGGGCCCGGCACCCTGCGTGGAGTGCGGCACGCGGGCCAGCTTCTCCTTGGTGCGGCGCTTGAAGTCGTTCCAGCGCTTCTGCACCTCTTGGCCCGTGCGCTTCCAGCTGGTGATGCCGTTGATCTTGGCGGCTATGCCGTCCCACACGCGCCGCCGCTCCGCCACGCTCACCCGACGGCTCTGCGCGCCGTAGAGCTGCGGGTAGTGGGCGCGCACCTCCCGGATCAGGATCTGGTTCTCTTCGAACGAGAAGCGCGGCTTGCGCAGCCGGGTGGTTTCCTCCGCTTCGCCCGCCGCCGCTGAGGCCATGGCGCCCCCCGACGCCGCTGTCCGGCCGCCTGGCGCATGGGGGGCGCCGTCGCTGCGGGCAAAGGGCGTACAGCGCTGGCCGGGGCTCAGTGTCCCCCGCCGCCCGGACAAGGGCTCCTAAGTCCCCTGGGCAGGGGTGGGGGCGGGGGCGGGGGCGGGGACGGCGGGCTGTCAGAAGTGCCTACTGATAGCTGACACCGGCTGAGCGCTCATTCTGTGCTTCTCGCGGCGCAGAGTGCCTCGCCAAGGAGTTGATGGAAATTGGGGGAGGGTCTGGAGGGATGGAGGGAAATAAAGAAAAGTGGAAGGAAAGGAGGTGTCTGCAGGAGTTAGAGGAGAACGGGGGCACGGGAGAAGAGCAAAGGGAAGGAGAATGCGGATGTCTCGGGGGCCGAAGAAGCATGGGGATAAGGAGAAGCCGAAGGGACTCTGCAGCAAGAGGACATCTAGAGCAGAGAGGCGCTCTGGGGGTTCCGAGGGCAATGGGGGGTCTGGAAGACCCATGAGACGGGGCCCTGAGAGGATATGTCAGGAAATAGCGGTGAGATGGGAGCTAATGGGTCAGCGACAGAGCTGGGACCATAAAATATTAGGGATTAGGGTCTGCGGGGATTGTGGGGGCGCTGGGATTGCCAGGAATTGAGGAGACCTCCGGAGATAACGGGGGTCCGAGACCAGCAGGGGACAACGGAAGCTATTTGGGACTTCAGAAAGAGTGAGGGTCGCGGAGGGAGGGGGACCGAGTCGGGCCGCGGGTCACTCACCGGCGCCGCCGCAGCCCCTGCCTGCCGGTGGGTCAGGGCTCGGGCGTCTGCGGCCTCTTTCCTCCCCCCGCCCTCTCCCTCCCCTCTCTTGGGCCCCGCCCCCGACCGCGCCGAGAGCCAAGGCGCACGCGCGCCTAGCGCCAGTCAGCCCAGACAACCTCACAGCCCGGGATTCATTCTCATTTTCCCCAACACGGCGCAAGCGCACAATTGCCCTCTAGCGGGCTCGACCAGCAGTTTGCAGCTGCGCAGCCGCAAATTTAGCGCTGAGCTGGTTCCACTAGCCTCCTGGTTCTACAACTACGCACGCGCGAATTCCTGTCGCGCGCAGGCGCGTCCCTCGTTCCCCGCGGGTTTTGGTACCTGGGCTTGATCCCAGCGCAGGCGTAGCAATCTTTACAGAATGGGAACTGCTGGGACAGCGCTAGGACCGAGCGGCGCCTCTGCCTTTCTACAGTTTTCCAGCCCACTCGGCCTTCTAACTACGCAAGAGTCTAGAGAAAGGGGAGGGAGGCCGAGCTGGAAAGGATGGGAAGCACTTCGTCTCCATGACAACGGCGTGGGTGGTGTGGGGTGGCATTAGGGAACCTCAACGCCACCACCCTTACCAGCCCCTGCTCCCGGCACCGGCGAACTAACTACCGTCTACGAATTGAGGCGGGGCACCCTGGGGATACTCCACCTCCGGCGATGCAGTAACCATAGCAACCCACCAACCTCCCAATCACTTTGGGAGGCCCCCTGTCCACACATTTACGTCATGGCTTGGAGAGGGAGATCTGAGGGAGGAGTTTCTTGGCCGCCCCGCAGCGAGGTTGATCTTGGCGCAGGCCCACTTTAAGCAAAGCACAGAGACGGGAGTGAATCTGGATAACGGGTTGAATGAACTGGATGAGCGGATGAGGCAGTTAAGTCCGATTAAATTTTGTTTAGCATCCTGCAGGAGTCTTCAAGGTCATTCAGCAAAGAGGACTACAGTCATCAATTCAGCAACTGTTTTATGAGTCGCTCACATAGCTTCAGGTGTAATGAACAGAAAAAGTCAAAACTCCCTACTCTTATCGAGCACTTATTTAGTTGGGAGAAACAGATGATGAAAGAAAATGTATAGGTGAGAAGGTGGAAAGTATTATGAGGAAAATAGAGAAAGGAAAGGGGGTAGAGGATGGAGGTGTTTGGGCCTGGATGTCTGTCATCTTTTTTTTGTTGTTGTTTTGTTTTTCTGCAGTGATGGTGATGGAACTCAGGGCTTCACACATGCTAGACAAGGGCTTCACTACGGAGCTCCTCCCCCAACCCCTGTAATTTTAAAATAAGGTGGGTAGTAAAGGTCTCGCTGAGTAGTGGGAAAGCAAGTGCAGCCAGAGATAAGACTGTGTGTGCTGTGAGACTGTGTGTGCTGTGTTCCACGAGCACTGAAGAGGCCAATGGAGCTGGTGTGAAGAGGACCAGATGGTGTGCAGCCATTATTCTGGGTAAGGTGAGAGGCATGGAGGGCTGTGAGTAGAGGAAGGTGAGCTCTGACCCAGGCATAGCTGACTTGAGGGAGCCAGGATGGGACGTGGGTGTCCAGTGAGGAGGTGCCTGCAGTGGTTCAGGGGAGACAGGGTATTGGCTGCCCCAACCAGGATCCTGGTAGCCCTGGAGGTGGAATTGGATATGGTATGAGAGAAGGGGAGGAGACAAGGTGACTTTGGCTTGAGTGAAGGAAACGATGGAACTTCCAGATGTGAGGATGGGCAGGGCTCCAAGATGATGAAGAGTTCAAGTTTGCTCAAACTTGAGTTGCACATTAGTTAAGTATAAATGTTAGATATTTGAGTCTGGACTTGAGGACAGACATCCAGGCTTGAGAGATAAATTTGGGAGTTGTCAGTATGTGACATTTAATTCCGGAGGACTAGGTGGGTTACTAAGGAAGCAGGTGTAGGTAAAGAAGAGTTCTGAAGCCCGAGGCTGCACATTCCTATGTGCAAGGTAAGGGCAGAAATCAGCAAAGGTACCAAGGAGGAGCAGGGCTGTGTGGTGGCCCAGAGGCCAAGTGAAGGGTGAATTTGAAGATGAGGGAAAGACTCAGGGTGCCAAATGCTGCCCAGAGGCCAAGCCCAGTGTAAACTGAGAACTGGCCACCAGAGCTAGCAAATACGGAGATTGTCAGTGATCTATCTTTATTCATTTATAGTACTGGGATCAAATTCTGGTCCACACACAATCTAGGGAAGTGCTTTTCAGCAGAGCTGTATCCTCAGTTCAGTTGTACAATCCTTTTTTTTTTTTTTGAGGGATTGAACTCAGGAGCACTTAATCACAGAGCCACATCCCTAGTCTATTTTGTACTTTGTTTAGAGACAAGGTCTCACTGAATTGCTTAGCACTTCACTTTTGTTAAGGCTGGTTTGAACTTGCAATCCTCCTGTCTCAGCCTCCCAAGCTACTGGGATCAGTTATATAATCTTGAAAGAGCATTTTTGCTGGGCACAGTGATGCACTCCAGTAACCATTCACTCAGGAGACTGAGGCAGGAGGATGACAAGTTTGAAGCTAGCAAGACCCTGTCTCAAAACTTAAAAAAAAAAAAAAAAAAAAAAAGAAGACTGGGATTCGAGCTCAGAGTGGAGCAGCTCTGGATTCAATTCCCAGGGCTGAAGGGAGGGGGAGCATTTTTGGTGGTCAGGTGAGGGTGATGGCTAATTGAGTGAGTTCAGGAGGGTTTTGCAAAGACAGTCCTTTCTAGCATTCAAGTGGAGACATGGGTCTTATTTGGAAGAGAGCTTGGGATCACGTGAGGCATATTTAATATACAAAATCTGACTGGTTTCTGTAGAGGAGATTGAGGCTGCAAAGGAGAGAGGGGAGAGCATTTAAGTCCATCAGACTAAGAGGTCACTCATGGAGCAGGTGCAGCTCCTTGAGTTGGTCCAGTGGGTTTGACCGAGAGCACAAGTGGAAGGAGACTAAGGGGCCTGGGTCCTGCAGCGGCAGGGGAGGGGATGCAGGGCTGCTGCAGGCATGTGGAGAGCTGTAGGGTCAGGAAACATGAACATTCTCTGTTGTGGTCTCAGTGGAGCAGGAAGCTGGGTCACAGGTGACAGAGAGGTACTGGGTTAGGGGACAAGAGATATAAACTTGGGAGTCTTCAGGGTCTCATTGAGGACAGGGAAATGTTGACAAGTAGAGCCAACCTGAGATTGCAGGTGATGAAACTGGAGTGAGGCAGGCCCTGGGGTGTGTTCTCTGGTCCTGCTTTTGTGAGCAGTGGCCAGGTGGTTTTAGGTGAGGTCCCGCCATGGGTCATGAGATCAGGGTCCCCACAGGGCATGATGGGCAATGTTTTAAAGGAGGTTGAACATGAGCTGTAAGCAGGGTTGAGCAGGGAAGGACAGGGGCTGAGTGTCAGGAGAGAGCCAGAGCAGTGGGCAGTCAGGGGACATCTGGGGCAGGAGTGAGGAGGGAACTGGGGACAGGGAAGGGAGAGAGTAGATCAGGGCAGACAGTGGCATGGTTGGGAATGGACTGGAGAGACAGTTTGAGAGGCAGGATTCAGAGCACTGGGAGGGAAGGGGAGGGGAAGTATAGGGGACACCCAGGTCCCTAGCCCAGGAACCAGATGAAGGTGTGGTTTCACCTAGGATATGGTGGTTGTGGGCTGCTCACTGAGTGTAATGGCTGTTGCTGCTTGTGTCCCAACCCCCAGCCCTTCAGTATGTGACCTTCTCTGAAAATAGGTCATTAGAGATGTCTTTAGTTAAGGTGAGGTCATGCTGCAATAGGGTGGGCCCTTGATCCCAATTAATGAGTGTCCTTGTAAGAAGAGGACAGAGGTGCTCAGGGGCAGAGGGCTGAAAGGCAGAGGCAGGAGCAGTGCAGCCTCAAGCCAGGGAAGGGCCAGGGCTCTTGGGAGCTGGAGGCCTCCAGCAAGGTCCTCTGCTGGAGCCTTGGGAAGGAGCGAGGTCCTGCCACATCCTGACCTCAGGTGCCCAGCCTCCTGGACCCTGGGTCCATTTGTTTTTGTTTGTTTGTTTGTTCTTTCTTCCACTGGAAATTGACCCCAAGGGCACTCTACTGCTGAGCTACATCTCCAGCCCTTTTTATTTTTTTTTAAAGACAAGGTCTCACTAAGTTGCTGAGGGTCTCCCAAAGTTGCTGAGCTGGCCTTGAACTGTAGTCTCTGGGATGATGGATGTGCCACTGTGCCTGGTCAGTTCCTTTGTTTGGAACCACTGGGCTTGTGGCACTTTGTGACAGCAGCCCTAGGAGACAAATTGCTGGGCTGCAGGCTCCCTGGGAGTCTGGGGAGAGAGGCTAGGGCCTTGGTTCCTCAGCTCCCTAAGCATCCCCAGTTCTAGTTCTGACATTTAATTAATTGTTGAATAAATGACTCAATTCATTACCAAAAAATTTGCTCATCATGATTTGTCTGTCTCCAACCCTGAGCCTCTCCAGGGTGTCCATCACCTCCAGAAATTTCACCTTGGATGCCCCCAGACACTGTGTATCCTCCATTCCCCAGCTGACTCACATCTGCCCTTTCTCACTTTTGCAGATCTACCTCCCCACCATCCTGAGTCCTGAGTATTTTCCTGAGCACTGAGCATGAGCAGTTCTCCCAAGTACTGAGGACACCATCCATTGCTTTCCATAACCGCTGCCCACACCTTGTCAGGGATCAGTCCCTTTAAACTGTCACTCAGTTGAGAGGCCATCAGCCTCTGTCTGATGCACCCTAGATATGAATCAGAAAGGGGTGCCCTTCCTCCAGTGGGCAGAGCAGGAACAGCAGGACCCCTGCTGGTGCTCTTGTGTAGGACTCCCCCTGCCCCCATGCCAGCACCCCAGCTCTGAACTGGGGCTTCTTTTATTCTTCCCCCACTGTTTGGTTCCACCTGGGAGTCAGGCTCCTGGGGGCAGAGCTGCGTATTCAGAGGAGCTGTGAGTGGAGGACTTAGCTGGGCTCTTTGGTTCTCCCTGTAACCAGTGTCTGGATGAAGAATCCACAGAGTCCACGGGTGGATTTGAGCGTCTCGAGAATGAACACTAAAGGCCAGGTTCTCCCCAGGGTCGGCGACATCCTGAACTCTCCTCCTCTCTGATCTTCTGTCCTAGCCAGCTTCCTGCACATTCTGCAAACACACCAGCTTCCCAGTGCCACCTCAGTACCTTTGAACTTGCTCTCCCTCTGCCAGGAATGCCCTCCTCCAGATACTCTGTTGGTCCCGCCTTTCATTTGGACTCTGTTCAGATGTGACCCACCTGACCACCAGCCTCTTCCACTCTCCCTCTGCTACCCGACCTTGTTGTCCTTCACTGGGCTTCTCACCCTCTAAACATTATTTTAGCACCCTCCACTAGAATGTCAGCTCCAGAGGGCAGGGACCTTGTCCATTTTGATCCCACTGTTTCCCCATCACCCAGAACAGTGGCACCTAAGAGATATTCAATAAATATTGTGCAACAATGGAATAGAAACCCCGTGATACTACACACAGCATTTTGTGCTGGTGTGTGTGTTTCCTGGGAGGGACCATATTTTCCAATACTTCTCCAGGGAGGCCTGGGAGCCCCAAATTTATGAACTACCCAAAAGTCAAGTCTTGCAGGGTGGGATGGGAACCCCCAGACAGGGCATGGAAAGGGAATCTGGGGTCAAGGAGCAGGCTGGGGAGGAACCTGGGAACCCAGACACATGGGGACAGGGCTGGAGAGGAGCCCTGCATCCCTTCCCACCCCACCTGCTGCTTACTGGGATTTGGGGCAAATACAGCTCCTGGGCACCCTCCCCCATCTCCAAGGATAGGGCCAGGAGACAAGGCAGAAACACAAGGACTTCAAGGACAAGTCAAAACGATCTTTATTCACCAGAGCTCAATGCCCAGGCCTTCCATTCTGAGCCAAAAAGCAACCAACTTGTTGTGCTCCATTTGTATTAAATAAATAAATAAATAAATAAGCAACCAACTTAAAATCTGACCAGGGCTCTCTCATTTGCCAATAAACAAACAAACAAACAAACAAATAAACAAACAAACTTAAAATCTGAGCAGGGCTCACTCTTTTGAACTCAAATAGATAAATACATATATAGATATAGATAGATAAATAGATATAGATAGATAAATAGATAAATAAAGCCAACAACTTAAAATCTGACCAGGGCTCTCATTTGCCCTTAAAACAAAATCTAGGCAGTTGCCATTCCCATCCAGGCAGGCAGACCTCTTTCCCGTGGGAGCTTTGCAAATTTAACTGTTGGAGGATGAAAAAGTCACCTCTCATGATTTGGGGGTGGGGGGAGGTGGCAGGGAGATGCATCTCACTGCGGGAAGGTCCCACGGGGGAACTGGAGTTGGGGACAGCAGCAGAGTGAAATGGGTTGAAGAACGAAGAACAACAAGGGAGCCGGAGACTGTCGCTCACCACAAGGCCGCACTCCAGGTAGCCTGGGAAGACACAGGGTCCCTCCAGTGTGGTCCTGTCCCCTGTCTCGGCTCCTGACCTGGGACGCTGAAGCCAGGGAGGGATGAAGAGCGTGGTCCCTGCTGCCTCTGTGGGTCTGCAGGGGCTGAAGGACAGGGAAGGTGGGTGTGGAGCCAGCGCCCATTCTCAAGTTCTCATTGGGCGAGTCCGGCCAGCTTGTCACCCACTCCAAATTCTGAGGCCAGCTTGGAGAAGCACACGGGGTCTTGTGGGGCCAAGGATCCAGGGGTTCCCCCAGGCCTGGGGCTGAGAAGTCAAAGGAGCAGGGCTAGTGCTACCAGCAGGCCCCAGAAGGACTGAAGTTCTGTGACCTGTGGCCCAGAGACAGCCAGGGGGGCGGGCGGGAGTGCTGAGCGCAGGGCTCCTGCGCACCAGAAGCCCTGGGACGCCCGTCCTGGCTGCCAGCAGCCTCCGTTATTTGGGGATCCAGCAGGGATGGAGTGCGGGGTCCAGGGATGGCAGGGCTGTGGGAGTGGGAGGGAGGGTGGAGGCAGCGGGTGGGCTGATCCGGGAGGGGTGCCGGGTGCGGGCGGTGGGCACCTCATGGTCCTCAGCGCTTGACCTTGCGGCCGGCTGAGTTGCGCCCACTGCGGCGGTAGAGGGACTGCTGGTTGCCATTGAGAGGGCAATACTTGAGAGTGTGGGCCTGGCCCCCGGTGGCGCCGCACAGGGGACACACGTAGTGCCTCAGGATGGGACACAGCACCACGCCCTCGGCTGTCTTCAGCTGGTGTGAGGAGTAGACGTGGCGGGACTCCCCATTGTGCTTGCAGAAGTTGCAGAGGGCAGTCCCCAGCCCCTGATCCTGCCCCAGCTGGGGGCCAGGTCCCTGCTCCTCAAGTTCCTCTGCCTCCAGCCTCTGGCTCCTGCTCTGGGTCAGAGTCAGCACCACCTGGTTCAGGTTGAGGTAGTCCTTCCACATGTCAAAGGGTGGCAGCTCCATGGCAGGGGCCGGCTGGAGGGGGGCTGGGCCTGGGGACCTGTGGGCAGGAGCAGCAGTGTTTTGTGGAGCAAAGGAGCTGCACCCCCTTTTATACTCCCTAGAGCCCCTTCTGAGCAAAGGTGGAGCTTAGTATTTAAAGGGCCCACTCCCGCCTATGACCCCCATTTGACTCTGGTCTCCCAGGGAGGTCCAGAAGGAGGTTTTACTCCAGGTCCTGCTGCCTCCAAGGTGCTCTGTGTCCTCTGCAAAGGCCCTTCCACTCCCTGGGCCTCAGTTTCCCTGTCTGCTCAATCAGGATATATGGTTTTTAATGCCCTCCCACATCCTCCTTTCTCCAAGGCTGGAGGGGTGCTCCCTCTGAATACTCCAGAGCCATTGCTATTCTTTGTAACTGTCCCTTACTGTGAGCCAGACACTGGGCGGCACAGTCACCTGCAGGATCTGACTTAGTCCTCACAATAACTCCATGAGGGCCACAGTCATGATCTTGTTTTATGGATGCTGACTGAGGCTCTGAAAGGGAAACTCATTGGCCCATGGTCCCACAGCACACAACTGACAGGAGTGGGCCTGTGGAACTCCAAAGCAAGTCCTTCTTAAACCTCTTAAAACATTTTTTATCAATCCTAAATTAGGAGCCACTTTTCCCCTCCTGCTATGCTGGGAATGAAACCCAGGGCCTTGAGCATGCTAGGCAAGTAGTAGACCACTGAGTTACATTTCCAAATACTTTGTGTGTGTGTGTGTGTGTGTGTGTGTGTGTGTGTGTGTGTACACGCATGAGCATGTGTGCTTGTGAATGTGTGTGCTGGAGATTGAACATAGGGCCTTGCCCATGCTAAGCATGCACTTTACCACTGCGCCACACCTCCGGACCCAGAAGGAGATACTTAGTCAAGGAATATTTATTGGGCACATGCTACAGTGCTCAGTGCACATGATCTCTTTGAATGGTCAAGGAGGTGACAATGGTCATTTACATTTTATAAAGGAGAAAAAGAGACTGGGAAGTTAAAGAATGTACTTAAGGTCACACAGCAGGGAAGTGGCAGAGCTGGAATTGACACCTATGTCTTATATCCAGAGACACTGGGAATTGATATTAGAAGGGGCAGAGGACCCTGGCCGTGAATTGAGCACAATTTTCCCATAGTTTGGAGAAGGGACAGAGAGCATGCTCATCAGTAAGTGCTCAGGAAACAGCCCCAGGTTCAACCCTGTCTATTCCCTGCAGCTCTGAATGGCTGGTTATTTAACTCTGCCCAGCCTCAGTTTCCTCTTGTGTTGCTCCAAGATGATGTCAGCACCTGCCCCAGAGCACGGACTGGCTGATCACTAAGTCCCAGCACAGAGCCTGGCCTGGGCCAGGTGCTCATGAAATGCAACGATGGTGACTCAGACACAATTAATGCAATAAGCCTAGGGACTCCCTTGCTGAAGGTCTCCTCGGGGCCAGTCCCATGCCCGGGGCTCTCATTGAACACCCCCTTCCCCAGACCCTGGGAAGGAGGGTCTATTAAGAGTCCCATTGCACAGAGAGCTTGTCCCAAGTCATATATGGTCAGTAAGTGGTGGGGTGCAGCCAGGGCTGTCTGTCCCCAAACCCAGGCATCCTCCTGTCCCCTGGGTGCCTGCTGTGAGCCAAATATAAGTGATCAGGGACAGCAGCAGAGCTTGGAGGGTCCTGCCACCTACAGGCAGAGACTGAGCTAGGACACCAGAAGTGGGGAGGTGGTATCCCAGTGACACATTTGGACGGATGTCCTTGAAGGAAGACAGGGTGGTCTGCATTGTGAAGAACCAAGGGGACCAGGACAGACATGGGTACCCTGTGCGGAGTGCTTTGTTTAGGGACACAGCAGTGACCTTTTCCGTGACCTTTTAAACTCAGGGTTGAGCTACCTGGGTGCCTAGGGCCTGGATCCTGCGACCCAGTGACCATTACTGCAGCTGTGCTGGGAAGACTGATGGAAGGCGGGGGCGGGTTTGAGGTCCCCGACTCCCCTGAACAAGGGCACAGACTGGAGAATCCCAGATTCCGGGGCCCTCCCCCACCCCCTTTCTCTTCCATCTCTTTCCCCCCTGATTGTTTACTTCCAGACTCTGTTCTGGGGCCCCTCTGCGCTGCCTCCCTCTCCGATGTTTTTCTGGGAGTTAACTGGACCAGCCTCTCCTCAGCGCTCTTTCTGCTGGGCCCGCAGCTCTGAGAACCCGGAGGGTCCTGGCCAGACACTCAAGCCAGGTGTTTACTGCGGACTGCGCCCCGTCCAGACGTCGCCCACTGCCGCCGCCCACGCCTCTGTTTACTGGAGTTTGCTCTTGGCCTGACGCCAGCTGAAAATAGCCCAGGGGTTCAGAGAGGCGTGGGAGGGGCTGAGGTTAGAAATCCTAAAAGGAGGGGGAGACTTGCAGAGACCCAGACAGGGAGATGAAGACCCCAAAGGTGAGCGTGATCATTATTGTCCTTGTCCCTGCGGCTGGCCTGTGCAGTCTCATTGTGACAATCTTGTAGTCCTGTAACAGTCCCATTGTACAGAGAAAAATGAGGCCAAGAGAGGAAATTCCATATTGATGTCAATGGCAGTCACCGGTTTCTTTCTTTCCTTCTTTTGGTCCTGGGGATTGAACTCAGGGACACTCGAGCAGTGAGTCCCATCCCCAGCCCTGTTTGTATTTTATTTCGAGATAGGGTCTCACTGTTGCTTAGGCCTCACTGAGTATCTGAGGCTGGCTTTGAACTCGAGATTCTCCTGCTTCAGCCTCCTGAGTCACTGGGATTACAGGTGTGTGCCCTGATGCTGAGCTCCTCCATTTCGTCTTATCCCAGGGCTGTAGAGAGGAGGGACACTTTCACACAGTGAATCCGGAGACCTGAGGCTGCAGAAGGGAGAAAACGAGAGTAAGGTGTTACACGAGGTGGGGGCCGTGCGTGGCCGCTGCAGCCATGGAGCTGGGCCCCTCCTGGCTCTGCTGCCTCCACTGTGTGGCTTTGGGCAAGTGATGCCAGCCCAGTGGTCTGTTTCCCCATTTCACAAAAAGGAAGATTATTGTAGTTCCCCTGTTAGGAGACCGCCCGAGGATGACACCCAACACGGGTGAAGACACTAGAACAGGTACACAGTGAGCGCTCACTTATTTTGTTAAATACTGGAGATTGAATCCAAGGGCACTTGACCACTAAGCTACATCCCAGTCTTTATTATTATTATTATTATTTCAGTTTTGAAACAGGGCTGGGCGCCGGCGCTGTAATCCCCATAGCTCGGCTCCAGAGGCCAAGGCAGGAGAATGTCAGCTTCAGCAACAGTGCTAAAGCAACTAAAGGTGCTAAAGCAACTCAGTGAGACCCTGTCTCTCAATAAAATACAAAATAAGGCTGGGGATGTGGCTCTTGAGTTTGATCCTCTGGTCTCTCTAAATTTACCACCACGCTGGCCTTGAACTTGTGATTCCCTTTCCTCATCCTCCTGAGTCCCTGGGATTACAGGATTGTGCTACCTGGCTTGGTAGCACCTTGGTAATACCCTAACGGATTACTAAAGAACTCTAAGTGGAAAGATGGAGATTGTTGGGGCACAGAGAGATGGAAAAATATTTGCTCATTCAACAATTTTTTTAAATATTTATTTTTTAGTTTTAGGTGGACACAACATCTTTATTTCAACCCCAGCCCTCAACAAATATTTGCTGAATGCCTGATTGTGTCTAGCATTTTAGAGGTGCTGAAGATACACCCAGGAACAGAACAGGTGAAAATCCCTGCCCCCCCCCTCGAGAATTAAGTTAAATAACAAATAATATAGACAGATGAACAATAGTATGTCAGGCTGAGTAATGGAGGGAAGGTAAAGGGGAATAGGATGTTGAGTGGACAGGGAGGGCTCTTGGAAGAGGCGACATTGGGGGAGAATCTTAAAGGAGGTGAAAAAGAAGCCTTGTAGAGGCCCTGGGGTCAGCATGTGGCTAATGTCTTCAGGGGTCACCAAGGGGGCAAGTGTGGTTTGGAGGGATTGAGAAGGGAGTCGGGGAGAGGTTATAGAGGGAGAAAATTACTCCCATTTTCCAGATGAGGAAACTGAGGCTTGAGAGCCGATGTCACTTGGCTCAAGTAATAGAAGATCACAGCTGGGGTTTAAACCAGTGTCTGTCCAAGTCTCCTGGGTGCCTGTGAAGAATCTTGGTCTGCGTGCATCGCCCTCTTTACTCAAGATGGGTTGGGGGTTTGTCATTGTGATTCCTTTTCCCCATCCCCAATTCTGATGTATCCAGGTCTGGTTGGGATTTGTCCCCCAGCACAGGGCCTGGGTAACATCCACTGTCAGCTTACCGAAGGTGAATGTTGAAAAAATGAGCAAATGAACGAATGAATGAGTAAACCTATGAATGTCAAGCTGAAGACTTTGGACTATGTGCTGAGCAGGGCACTGGGGAGCCAAAGAGGGTTTGCAAGTGGAGGACCATGGTCATACCTGAGCTTTGGAAGACACTCCCCACTTCCTTTCCACTCTGGGTTCCTGCGTGTGTGCTCCTTCTGTGTGAAATGCTCCTGCCACTCCTTCCTGCTGTTCTTCAAGCATCAGCTGGGAAGCCCCCTCCTGTCCTCCAGGAAGCCCTCCTGGTCTTCAGGCTGGGTCAGCCCCCACCCCCCTCCACATGCTTCCCAGTCCTGAGCACTCTAGGCTATCACTGTCTGGGGACCAGTTTGTCTTCCCCCCATAAGTGCCCCCTGAGGACAGAGCCAGTAGTACCTTGGTCATGGCTGTGTCCCCAGAACTGCCCTGCACAGGGCTGGGCACTCAGAGAAACCTTCTTTGGAAAAATGAATGAGACCAAAACTGGGGCAGAAGAGGGGAGGGTGGGGGTGGGGACTAACCAGAATCCTAGACAGCAAAATTTAGTAGACGAGGGTGGAAATGGGGACAAAGGGAGGAGGAGACGGATTCGGTGGAGACTGCAATCAGCTTCTCCTGATTCTGGTGATTTACGTATGTACTTAAAAATTTTTTTTTGGATGTTGATGGACTATTATTTTATTCATTTATTTATATGCAGGGCTGAAGATCAAACCCAGTGCCTCACACATGCCAGGCAAGTGCTCTGCCACTGAGCCACAGCCCCAGACAGTATTTTTTTGGGGGGGGGCACTGTGGATGGAGCCTAGGACTTGCCCATGGCCCTCTGCCCCTGAACTACACCCCAGACTTAGCTTTCTTTCTTAAAGTATCCAAATCTACTGTTTTTTGTCAGTTGTACTGTTATTTGTTTTTGTGGTGCTGGGGTTTCATGCAGGCCCCTGCTGGCTGAGCTATTGTTTATTCAAGGACTGACTTCAAAAATTAGAGTGTGAAAAGGAGAAAAAAATAGTACTTTTAACTGGCAGGCACCACATTCACCAAGCAGTCAAGATGATGTGCTCACTGACATTGATGCTGTCTGTGTAGCTCCACAGGCTAGATGGAAATGACACTTTGGCTTTTTCATGTTTCTCTTCATATCCATAATTGCAGTCTCCTTGAGAAATTATCAGACAAACTCAAATTGGGGGATAGTCTAC